TTCTTATAGCTTGTTTTAACTGCGAACTCACTTAATTTGACATCACAACGGTTATAATTTTCACAATATTAATTCTGCACTGAGATTGCCTTTGATTCGTTACTCACGCCACCATTAGGAAAAATGAGAGCAGTATGTGGTATACAAAGGATTATATTGAGACTGCTGACAATAGAACTATAGAAACTTAAACGAACCCACTTATAATCAGGGTGTACCCCTTTTCTAAAAGCTGAGCAGAACAAGTGGATTGGAATTGACTGTAAGAACTGAATAGGTCTAAGCGCCATATGCAAAATTAGATTATAGTTATGTAAATATTGTAGAAACACAAAAATTTTAGAGGAAATAAACAGTAATTCTAAATGAATTTTAGTTCAGCTTTAATATATTTTCAAGAGGTATTTCCTTTTTCATTGTGTAAAATGTTCAAGTCACTTGTCAGGATATTGTCATTCAATAATATATAAACAGAGCAAACATAAAAAAAAATCAAATACAGTGAAACAAAAATATACTTGGTTCACCTTGTTTTCTAATCTATATTCATCCAGAAAGCTATAGATAATAAAGACACATACACTAACCACAAGAAAAAACTAACTAAAGGAAAATATGTCTAAAGACTAGTCTAGATTGAATAGTTCTTCTAATTAATGCTAATTGGAATATATAATGTGTTATTGAATAACAACAAAGTTGTTAGCAAAAAGGATCTTGTTGCTAGAGATTATTGTTGTTTTTAATATGTTAATGAGGATCCGTCCTACATCATATACAGGAAGGCACAAGATGTTTCAAACAAGAGACACAATTGGGCTTAACCGGGAAAAAGATAAGCTCTTAAGAGACTAACAGAGGAGTGACCAACAATGTCCTCCGTTCATTTTACATTTTGTCCCAAAAACTTCCTGGTATTACAAAGAAAACTGGCCATACCAGAAGCAATTTAAAGAGAACTGATATATCAATAAAATATTACATCAAAATACAAGATAATGCCAACCCATGGGCACTTTTTGATTTGTGGCACTCAGTAAATGTGTTCATACATTGTAATTCGAAGTAGCTCAGTGGTAAAAACTAGGACATGCTTCAAACAATCCACGCATTTTCTTGTACGTTCTAAATGAATAAAGAATAAATTGTGAAACAATACAACGCCTGCCACGCTACCACATCATAGCCTATTATAACCTTATGAGATACACCTAAAATAAATGTGATCATCCTTAACAAAGAGAGGTACCATTTAGAGATCACCCTGTATATGAGAAAGTAGGTTAAGATCTCTTACACCTAATGATGCTAGAGTACACGTTATGCAATCACATGCTACTAATAGATAGCTGAAGTTGTACTCGCTTACTGTCAAGAATTAGGGTTGCTGACCTCTATATCTACCATTCTGAAATGATACTATTTCACTTATTATTTATTGGACCTCCAGATGTTAGAAGAGGCATTGTGCCACATATGCGATTTTTTGTCATGCAAGAGTCTTGAGATAAAAGCATTTCTTTTCATAAGATTGCAATAAACAAATGGCTAAATATATTTATAACGCATTAGAGTAATTACAATCCTAATTCAATTTTAACTAAAACGCATCTGGTTGCACTACCCTATTGGCTTAAGTTGTCTCATGCCATTTTGCCTTATGTTTTGCGCAGTTATACCACAATACAGTTTTACTTTATATGCTGGTAGATACTGTGGTTATTGTGAATATAACCGTTGGATGTTCGCTTAACCTGAAGTAGACATGCAATGTGACAGATATAACTGTGGCTTAAGACATTAGAATATATATAGAATGCAATTTAGAGTTCCAATTTAGAGGCCCTTTAGAGGTCACCTGCCCTCTAGATGCAATAAATAAAAATAAAACTTGTTTTTATAATAAAAGAAAAAGAGAAATATATCTATAAGATAACATCATGTATCCACGTGTGTTCATTAACAGCTGATCTGCAGCAGTGGATTTCTCAGTCTGTCTTGACTCTGGACACTTGCAGTTTTTACACATGGAAATCACATGTGTGCTAAGATGCAGGATTAGAACACAGGTTTAATCCGAATAAACTACTATTTTTCTGCTCGTTTCGCCTTATAAAAAAACGCCCATTTAGCTCAACACCACCGATAGAACCAGATAAGGCAGCAAAATAACTGAACTAACATTATCATTAGTGTAAATGATCCCGATGTTTGTGGAGGACCGTAAAAGTGATATTCAGCTGAGCATCATGGCCCTCCTGTCCTCCACAGCTTTCTGCCAGTGTTTAGACAGCATGAACGGTGTGCATTCTAAAGTAGAGGCTTTTAAAGCAAGTAGAACGTGAGTTCTATTTGACGGACTGACTGACGATGAGAACACAGCTGAACATAATCTGACACATAGGAAGTAGAACATGTGGAAAATAAACAGTGAACATGAATGAACTGAAAACACTGGGTCACAACCCAGGAACCCTGACATTACTCTTCGTCATGCTGTTTGAGCATTGCTCTTTCAGCCATTTTTGCAAAACAATTATCTACCACCACACTTCCGCATCAGGTTTGTCAAGTTAGTGACTGATTTGTTTATTCTTTTAGCTTTTGCTGCATTTTTCTATTTGTTTTCTTTCTTTGTAATCTTTTTTCGATTTCTGTTGTGTTTTGTGGTGTTTTTAATTTGATGGTGTTTTCTTAAGTTGCACTCCTTTTGGCCTCTCAGAACCACTGTAACTTTTGCTATTTTTTGTTAAGTGCCATGGTTGGTTTACTTTGCCTTAGGATTGTGTGTCCAGAGTCAAGAGAGACTGAGAAATCCATCAAGACGAGAGGTGCCCAGACACAAGGTTTTTCTACTCTTGATGATACACCAGGACAAATTCAACAGTGTGAGGAAGAGGAGGAGGAAGAAGTGCAGCTCAGAGATATATAGAAGAGCGGAGGTGAAGACACAGACTGCTCTTTCTTGATGAAGGCTGTTAGAAAAGTTTAAAATAATTAGCAATGGTTAAATAAATAAATTAGCACTGGGCAGTGAAAAGGTATACATTTAAAAAGTTAAAGTGTGTAAGCACTCGCACCAAAATATCCCTGAAAATAAACGTCAAGCATATTAACTTCAGTTTTATGTTTCTTCAGTTAAACATGAAATATTTTTGCTTTATCTATGTGTTTGTTTCATATTGCTGTTTATATGCTTTATATATTTTGTGATAAGTTCATCTGCTGCATTACATCGTATTTTATAAGCATGTTATACATCTGTATCATGCTCTGTTAGACCCATTCAGCCATTTAAGGATCAGATATCTTTTCCATCTGACCTAAGAAAATTATATGTCATGATTTTCTCACCCCAAAGGGATACAGGCTATTCTTCATTTTATCAGCAGCTTACTCGTTTATAAACAAGAAGGCCCAGACGGTTGCCAGAATACTTTATAGTATGTAACTTTATTTGTTTTGTTTATAAAATGTATAGTTTTATTTTTTGAAGAACCTTTTGATGTAATGTGATGTGCATTATGTGTTGAGTCATGACTGAATGGCTGAACTGCAGCACAGAAATAAATGAGATCTAATCTGGACAAGATGATAACTTTGATTTCTTCTCTATTACAGCACAGTTTTTAAATAAATAAATAAATAACTGCCTTCAGAAAATGTCATCAGAAAAATGCAAAAAGATATTAAATTTTTTATTCAGTTAAGCCTTTTCACCAAAAGAGCAAATGGCTCTTGCTAGAGATTTAATCAAACAAGCTGAAAAAAAAGAAAGCTCAAACTTTACCTTCATGTATTTGAAAAACCTCACATCTAAAGTTGCATTCATCTTATTTAACTCTACTCAAATAAAAAAAATATTGTTAGGTTAATATAGAGTACATCTATAATATGTGTGTGTGTGTGTGTATGTTTGTTTTAGCACCTGAGTTGTTTTTTAAGTAGTTGTTGTATTTAAATGTTTAAGGTTTCCTGGTTTGACTCTAAATTTGATTTCTTATGAATGGTTTCTTTCTGTTTCTGTATCTCTGACAGTTGCAAAATTATGTTTTCCTTCTGTTTCTCTGCTATTGTTTTTATGTTTCTCATTTTATTACATGCTTGCTGCGTGCTAATCAGATGTCTTTCGATGTTTGTTTCCATCTCTCCATATGCTGCTCTTTGCTGTGGTAATCTGTTTTTGCTTTTAGTTATAATGCTTTTCAGATCTATGTATCCCTTTGCTCGGGCCTTTTCTGTGTTCTTATCCACTGCCAGAAACTGCTTGCCCAGGTTCTCCACCTCAGATGCAAATGTATTGCTTTGATCTCCGAGTTCTTTTTTCACTTCTTTCAGGTCAATCTGTTGTTTCATCAGTATATTAATCAGCTCCCCCAAGTCTTTCAGTTCTTCATCTTTCTTCTGTAATTCTTCAGACTTCTTGCTTTCTGCCACGAGCAGCTCTTCTTCTTTCTGTCTCTTTCTTTCTGTGTAAATGCATAAATAGTTATTAAATTGAAATTGGCAGAAAAAATGTGTCACATAATTTAATTAAAACATTTATAATATGGTTTGAAGGAAGATTATGGACATTAAATAAAGAATATTAGAAATTACCCTTCAACAAAACAGATTTTTTTGACATTTCATTGCTATAGATTCTGGGCCATGCGTCTAGGATCAGGGGCTTTTTAAATGAATGCCATCTATCATGATACAGTAGGTACACTGTAAAGGTCACTAATGCTTATTCACATTAAATTGTTAAGAGTTACCAGAGTTAGATACCTTTAGATCTGTTTTGTTTCCATTTCCACACAGAAATAGCTGCTGCAGTTAATATGAAACAAATTGCTAAGATAATGCTGACACGGTCAGCAGGAAAATGTGGAACTGCAACACAATCACCTGAAATGAAAAAGACACGGGAATTACATTTATACAAAAATCTGCTTCTCCCAAAATTCTGGGACTCTATAAATAATGTCTAAAAAATCAAATAAGAGAAAAAAACATTTCTTGTCTTTCATATCTGAGTTAATAAAAATGATGCCAGAAGCAATTGTATAAGTGTATGGAATCAGAGGAGGTTGTTTCCTGTAGATTTGAAATTAAAATATATTTTTTTCATATTCTTAACGAAGATACGAATTGGGGCAACTGAGACTTAGGAGGGTTGTCTACCAATCACAATGTTGGTTGCTCAATCCCTGGCTACTCCAGTCTACATGTCAAAGTGTCCTTTTTGCCTCCACCCATTA